TGTTGCAACTCAAATAAGAAATATAGTAAGTGTGGATATTATAGCACAGAGATGTGAAAGAACACTGTGTGAAGGGGAGTACTGGGAGCCAAAGGTTTAAGAAGGTATGTGGGCAAGGGTGGGCATGTAAGATAGAAGTTTAGTTAAAAACTAGGATGTATGAATACGTTTTTATAACCGCCCCAACTAGTTTCTGAGCCAATTAAAACATTTTTTTAAAACGGAGACTAAACAGAGGTACTCCACATGGGTGAACACTACTGATTGCAGGAGATAGGGGTTATTAAATGAAAAATATAAATTCAACAATCTAGAGTCATGGAGGCATCCAGGCACTGGCTACTGCCTATGGCCATTTCTGGGTATGCAGCTCTGCAGATGTTGTGCTCTGGTGTGGTATCTGTAGCCCCCAAGAATTCTGTGAATTCCTGAGGTCTGTTTAGCTACCTGGGGCCCTGTTGGTGTCTGGGGGCCATGCTGCCACAGGGAGCCTGATGATCTGAGTGGTCTGTGGCTGTGGTGGTATCCAGGCCTCGTTGCTGCTGAGAGCCAGGTCTTGTTTTATAGTCCTGTTACAGGTGGGTTCTGTGATGAAGTTCATGGCCTGTGTTAGCATGGGGACCATTCAAACTATGTTATGCTATGAGCTGGACCCTATGATGGCTGATCCTATCCCTCACTGGATATTGAAGCAGGGAAGCTAGCCCTACCTCTCAGGGGAGAACTCACTCTCATATGCTGGAAAGATGATCCCTCCACTCACCATAGAGGGGCACCTCTCCTGGAGAGCATACTAGTGCAGATTCTGTGGTCATGGATGAAGGTGAGCTGACCCTGAGGGCATGAGAGCAGGAGAGCTGACACAGCCACCCCCTTTTTGGCCATGTGCTGGCATGGGCAAGAGTTCGATTCCCGATTCCCTTCACCCATACTACCTGTGGAAGGTGAGAGAGCTGATCTGAGGGCCATGTGAGTGAGAGAACTAGCCCTGCCGTCAACCAGCTGCAGCACACAGAAGAGCAGGCCCTGTAGCCCACCTGGGCATCACATTAGCGATGACCCTGTTGTTGGGGTTGCAGGTGAACCAGCCCAGAGCACATAAGAGCAGAAGAGCTGACCCTACCCTACCCCTGTATGCCCCCCACAGCAATTGGGAGAGAGGGCTCTACACTTTGCCTGGGAAAAATAATAGAGTTGGCCCCAGTGATATGAGTGAGGAGGATCCTGATCAGAGGGTCAGAGAGAGGAGATCTGGCCCCACTCTTGCTGTAGATTGCATTGGGTGATCTAGCCAAGGTACTAGAGAGCTCATCTAGGAAGTGATGATGAGGGTAAACTATCAAACTGACCAACCCAGCTACCACCTGGGCCAAGAACAAAGGCTATGAGTTGATCCTCCCCAATAGCCACTGAATCTATGAACTGCTAGCACATGTGAAAGGGATGACACTACAGATTCAAAAAAGGACACAGGATAACAACAGAATATCCAACAGGAGTCCCAGTGAGACCCCATTATTGATGGTGTAGCAGAAAACAGGTCTCAAGCCAGACCAATGATTCGAGGCAATGAACACTTGCAAGTAAAGATGAATGGATTAAAGGGTAAACTATGTGTCTCCGTGGGCCACTACAGCTTCCATGAAAAGATTTTTCTTTTTGTTTTTGTTTTGTTTCTTTATTTTTATTTGCCTTGGATTTTTCCTTTAAATTTGGTTTTGATTTTGGGGGTAGGTTGCAAGGGCAGAGGGCAGATGCTAGGAAATGGGGAGATAATTGGGATCAGAAAGCATAATGTAAAATATACAAAGAACGAATAAAAGTTAAAAAAAAGAGAAAGAGAAAGAAAAATCTAAGTTCCAGCTGTAAGTTACATCCTGGTGCGTTATTGGTCAGGAAGAACCCAAGGCATGCAATACAAGATAAACGATTGTTACAGCTCTTGTTTGCAAATGATAACTAAGTATAAGTTTCTACTGCTGCAGACAGAGTACACTTTGGTTGTATAGTTCTACTTTCAACTTCTGTGGCATCAATGTAAAAGAAGAAGAAAAGAGAAATCATTTCATTTTTATAAATTAAGCAGTTCTAACACTATTTACTTCAGATTTAAAACAAAACTAAGGATTAAAACATTTCTCAAAAAGTAATATACCATTATAGTTCAACATATTTAAAATGGCTAGAAAATCAGTCACATTATCTCTTTCTTATAATTTTCCAAATTTCAATTTATTTATTTTCAAACAAATTTTAAATTTATTCTTAATCAAGTTACAAGATAGTAGGTTTCCATGTGGCTTTTCCATACAGATTTTATTTTTATCAGCCCTTCCCCAAAATACATCTTCTGACTTTTCATCCCTCTGCTTTTAAACTTTTCCACCACCAATATTCCCAGCTCTGCTTTTATATCCCTTATGTTCTACTACCATCTCTTTTAAGTTCCCCCAGTATAGTCTCCCCTGTAAATTTACATTGCTTCTGCAGATATATTAGGCTACAGAAAACAAAACTAAATACTCAAAGTTACGATCTACATGTGAGCGAGTACATGTGGTACTTGTATTTGAGTTAATCAGTCAATATTACTTTATCAGTTGCATTAATTTACCTACCAATTTCATAACTTCATTTTTAATTTTACCTGAGTAATATTTATTGTGATTCTATTCCTAGCTATTGTGAACAGACCAGAAATGGAGTTAGACAAGCAAGTATCTCTGTAGCATTATATAGATTCTTTTCAGCACATTCCTACGAGAGGTATAGATGGGACATATGGTAGTTTGAGTTTAGCTTTTTGAAAAATCTCCTGCTTATGGTATACATGTAAACTTACCCATATCCATGCCAGAATATGCTGTCATTTACATTTTTAATAGTAATTATGACTAGGGTTTTAACTGATTTTAAAAAGCCATTAAAAATTAGGCATATACATGAGGTGCCATTGGCTATTCTGACACATATTCATTCAGATGGTGAGTTGTTTAAAATAAACATACCAAACATTGTTAAGATATTTAAAAACATTACTAGGAAAAATATAAACCACTATTGTATTCTTCTTGATTTAATATATTATTCACAAGTTAGAAGTAAAACTTATTATTTAAGTTCTAATAACTTCAAGAAGGAAAAAAGCAGAGGAGTGAGAAGAGAAGAAAGGATAAGGAAGATGAGACAAAAGAAAAGGTGAAGAAAAGAGGGAGAGGAAAAGAAGGAGGATGAGAAAGGTAGACTATTCTACAAACATACAGAGGGAGAAGGAGAGAGAGGGAGAGAGACAGAGGGAGACAGAGAGAGACAGACAGACAGACAGAGATACAGAGACAGAGAGAGAGAGGGAGAGAGATAGAGAGAGACAGACAGAGACAGACAGACAGACAGAAAGAGAGAGAGAGACTAAGCAAAAGTATTATCGAGGTCTTTTGGGTACTAGACCCTTAGACCTCTTCAGGGTCCAGCCAAGATGCTACAGTAAGCAGGAGAACTAGCTAAGGGAATCTGAGTATGAAGGAAATGAATCAGCTCATACACATCTCTTTCTCGTCATGTGTCTTTATTCTTCCGATCTTGCTATCCCACACGGTTTCCAGTTTATATAGGCACACCATTCACAATTCTCAGGCAAGGCAAAATTATAGAAATTTCATTTCTCAAGGTCACACAGAGCAGTAACTTATCAGTTTCCTTTATGGCTCAGGGAAGGCATGGCGGAGAGACTCCCCAGCAGATACTGGGAGGATCAATTAAGGAGGGAGGTTTAAATCAGTATAGAATTCTAAAAAGAGAAAAAGGGGGTTTTCCGTGTGGCATTTGTTCCATGTTAGTACATTTGCCAAATATTAGAGACCTCTCAGCTCTAGAGATTACATCTAAAGTGGCTAGATCAAAGGAAAAACTATGGCTATGTAGTGTGAAATTCAGAGTCTGACACTTTCAGCCTCTGGGCCAAGCAGCAGGGCTGGTCAAGTGATCAATAGCCTTTTCCTGTATCTCTCAGAGTTAAGACACACTCAGTTAATTTCCTAGACTAAGACCTTGTATCAATAAAACCATGGTGAAGGTAAGTATAGAATATTGATGGTTTGTTCAGTTTGAGCAAGAATAAACCGAGCTTGCTCTCTCATGTTGGTTGTGGTAGAATTCAAGGCACCCAGTATTTATTCTATATAGCAAAATTACACAAACAAATGAAAAGTAATCTTCCTGACTACACATAGATATATGTACCCAGTAGATGGAATATCTTCATGAGATAAACACACAAGCAGTATGGGAATAACCCAAAGTTATTCTTAGGGAAGAAATGAAGTGACTCATGAGAGAAATTACAGACAGGAGCAACTGATTTCCACAGTCAGTAATTCCTTGGCCTTGCCAGATGGGGCTCCCTAACAAAGTATCACTCATTTGGTAGGTTAGCCTGTTGAACACTAGTTATCTTGCTGTATCTCTCATGACCCTCGATAAGTCATCTTTCAAACCATCCATAGAAGCCAATCCTTCCAGGGAGATAAAAGTAAACCTGATGCATACCTCTGTAAATTGGACATCAGACTAAACTATCTGTACTGATTTATATCTTACCAAGAGTAGTTGATTGAAAATTTGCTCAAGCCTCAAAAATATTCTCCCCTTGGTCTCTGAAAAACCCATGTAAGATTACCTTCTCTGTTTTGTAGGTTTGATATGTATATAGGATCTGAGTGCTCTTGCCTGAGTAATGTCCTTTTCACTCTCATAAGCAGCTTCACTGGTGAACAGACATTAACTTTTAGAGATAAAGCATAATTTTAAACAGTGTAACCCTCTTCTTGTAAAAAGTCACATGAAGACTCAAAGAACTTTTACCAAGGGCATTTATAGTCACTTCTTCTCTAGCAAAATAAACAGTATTTACTACCTTGGTTTCACTGGGAGAATTTCATTTATAGCAGAAATCTGCTGATGTTGTACAATGATTAAGCATAGAAAATACCTATCAGAAGCCCCTAAAAAGTAGACTGTGTGGACAGCAACCACTTCCCCAGGACTCTCCTCAAGGCCCCAGTGACCTCCTTATTTCTCAGGCTGTAGATTAAAGGGTTCAAAGTTGGGGTGACAACAGTGTAGAAAACAGAGAGGATGTTTTCTTGTTTGGGACTTAGACAGGAACTGGGTAGGATATACATGACTGTGAGAGCCCCATAGTACAGCCCAACCACAGTCAAGTGGGAAGAGCAGGTGACAAGGGCTTTCTTCCTTCCTTCATTTGAGGGCTTGCTGAGCACTGTGAAAAGAATTAATGTGTAGGAAGCCAGGATGGCAGCAAGAGGGGGTAATAGGAAGGCCACACCCATCACATAAACCATGAGCTCATATGTGGAGGTGTCTGCACAGGCCAGTTTCAGCAGTGGAGGGATCTCACAAAATAGGTGTCTGATCTTCCGGGATTTGCAGAAGGGATACTGCATGGTGTGGATGGTATATCCTAGAGCACTCAGGAATCCCAGAATCCATGATGTCGCTACTCCAAGCCAGCAGATGCTTGGCCTCATGAAGATCATGTAGTTTAGAGGATGACAAATGGCTACATACCTGTCATAGGCCATGAAGGCCAGAAGGAGGTCCTCTGCACCACCCAGTGTCAGTGCCAGGAACATCTGAAGGGCACAGCCCCCTAAAGAAATAGTGTTGTCTTTGAGCAGAAAATCCATGACAGCCTTGGGAATGATAATCGATGTGAGAAAGAAGTCTATGAGAGAGAGCTGCCCAAGCAAAATGTACATGGGTACATGGAGCTGTGCATCCATGGTGATGACCAGGAGCAGCAGTCCATTGCTGGTCAGAGCCAATGTGTACAGGGCTGTGATCATGGCACAGAGCAGTTCAGGATAGCCACTGTCATCCAGAATCCCCACCAAAATGAAGGCACCTCCCAGAGTGGAGTTCCAGGGTTCCATTTTGTGTCATTTCTTTAGCTGCCAAAATAAGTTGGTTCAGTTCAGTTTTGCTAATATACATCTTGGTTTTGTAAACTCAGAATTCACTCAAGATGCTCAGCATGACTCCAGTAAGATGACATTTTTCCTACTAGTATATAGTTTTGTTTTTTGGTTTCCAAATTTCTAATTGGTAATTGTATCTTGAAGAAAGGTTGAAGAAAGATTCATCTAAGTGGAAATCACATATCATAGCAATAATTTAAAAATAGGTTGTAATCTGATGAAAATATTATACAAGATAGTAAACCTGAAGAAATATCTTTCTAGGAGGACCAAACTTTGTCTTTTTAAGATTAACAAAATACCCCAGTAAATTTGCTTAGTGCTTTTAGTATTCCAGTTTGCTTTCTGCCTAGACATATGAATTTAAATTAATTTAAATATGAAATTCTCAGCTGATATAGAGATGCGATTTTAATAAATGATTTCTGTTGTTTGTCCTCTTTTCTGTTTTTTTTTTGTTGTTGTTGCTTTGTTTTGTTTTGTTTGCAAGATAGGGTTTCTCTGTGTAGCCCTAGCTATCCTGGAACTCACTCTGTGAGACCAAGCTGGCTTCTAACTCACAGAGATATGCCTACCTCTGTCTCCTGAGTGCTGTGACTAAAGGCATGAGCCACCACCACCCAGCTTGCATGTTCTTACGAAAGGTCTTTCTATGTAGTCCAACAAGAACCTTTTTGCTTCAACCTTTGCTTTTGTTTGTGATTTAATAAAGCTTGTCTGAAGGATCAGAATGCAAACCTAGCCACAGTCATAGAAGCTGGATAGTGATGGCATAGTCCTTTAATACCAGGACTCAGGAGACAGATACAGATGTATCTCTGTGAGTTCAAGGCCATCCTGGGCTACATGGGAATGAATCAATCTAAAAGAGTAGCAGAATTCATGCCTTTAATCCCAGAACTAGGGAGAGGTATATAAGGAAGAAACAAAGGGTCTCACGTAAGATTTAGCTCCCAGTCACAGGGAAGACAAGATCTCCATTTCAGACTTGGTAGAGATAAGAGTTACAGTTGTTTTACTTCTCTGACCTTCAGCTTGAATCCCAATATCTGCCTGTATTTTTTTCATTATTCATGCTACACTTTGCAGTGCTGGCATTTTAAATATGCACCAAACTGTTCATATCATTTTCTACATTTTGTAAGTCCATATTTGTAAGACATCTCATTTCAAGAATACAAGGTTTTCCACATTAATTACCTATTACAGATCCCCACATTCTCCATGAACCTGAAAGAAGAGCCTATATAAAACTAGGGGAAATTAAGTGTGAAAAGGTATTGGGGATTTATAGTTAAACCTTTAGGATCAGTGTGAAGATTTTTTATTTTAACATTATTACACAATGTGTATCTGCAAAAACATGGAAAGTTCTGTTTATGCTTAAGGGATATGACAGAATTTCACAAAGGAACAAGTACTTTGTGATATAATCTGCCCAAATAATCCTATCCTAAGATAGCCATTGATTCCAATGCCGATACTCTCTCCTATAAGTACACATCATTTTCACTAGATAGAAAGGGAACAGGAATGGGGGACCTTCCTATCTGGGAAGCTGCTATTGGAGCTGGGTGCCAACAGCCATGAAGAAGCCAACAGGAGGAGTGGTCTAAGATTGACAACAATATTGCTATACATCACAGAACTGGGCAGATGAAGCCAACTCAGAGCATGAAGTTAAAATGAATGTGAAAGTGAAACTTTTTTGAAAGCCAAGTAGCCTCATCTTGATATGTTTACATTAACATTTCATTAGTCTATATTGGATTCTCTGGGGGCCAATACTATGTCGAGAATTAAAAGATATGAGAATGTGAAACAAGCATCTCATTTTCAAGAGGTCCTTTGAAGGCATTCATCTATCTGCTAGATATTATCAGAAGCCTGGGACATCTATGGGGTCTGAAGGTCTGTTCTGAGATTCCTACCAGGAAGGAGTTACTCAGGTTGTAACAATTACATGGAGTATATCATAATGATACTTTCTTATTCAAAAAAATCAAATAGATATACCAAAAAAACATGTATTCAATTCACTAGAAAACAACAGATGTCAGGTTATGTCTTTAGGTTTGCTTGAGACTCTAATTCTTGACTCAAAATGTCTAAAAGCTACATATGTCTTTAAAAGAAATAGACAGGCATTGGTGGCACATGCCTTTAATCCCAGCACTTGGGAGACAGAGGCAGGCAGGTCTCTGTGAGTGCAAGGCCAGCCTGGTCTAAAGAGCAAGTTACAGGACAACCTCCAAAACAATGCAGAGAAACCTTTCTCAAAAAAACAAAAAATAAAAAATAATAAAACAGATGAAAATTCCTTACCTTAGGAGGTGAGAATCCTAGCTGCCTGCTCTTGGATTCACATTGGACTCTTTGGCAATTGAGGGTGTTTCATTACAAACAGGGAGGTCAGGTGTGATTTCCTTCAGCAGTTTTCAATTTGTTTAAAGTTTGCTAAGTAGGTGCAGTAAATTAGGAATCAAACTAATTTCAGGTGTCAGGGATGTGCTATTAGTTTCTTTCATCTGTAGACATCACTGGAAATAGCTATAGGGACAACCAAGTAGCTAATAGGTTTTGGCCAGTGTACCATGCAGCAAAAAAATCTACCTGAACAGAATTACTAGAAACTGTAGGCTCAGCAGCTTGCATGGAGGAAGCTCTAGCTTCTGGTCAGTCTGTTCTCGGGTGTCATGTTGTGGTTACCATGTTTCTGCTGCTGTCAGGAGCCAATATCAGAGTTGTAGGAAGGAAATAGAAAACTTGATCTGATACTCAAGGGGCCCTGTCTTCTGCCATTAAACATCTCTGGGACTAAGAGTATATCAGAGTCTTGTCTTCTATTCCCAAGACCACCTCGCTTCATTTCTTGTGTATATCTTTAGATGGACTTATATATTTTCACAAATGACCTCCTTGAAAATGGTTATCTTGGAAACAAGAAAGTTAATGAGTTCTCTTGGGAGTGTTTTCTGGATAGCTTTTCCTGAAGACTTTTACACAAGTAAGTAGAAGGAAATCCATCCAGTACTAGAGATACAGAGAGTCAATATTAGTTAAAATCATTTAAATTCTTTCAGATATAAAATTCCCACTATATAAAAACACTAAGATAACAATGGCCTACCAGTGGCAGTAATAGGACAGTAGAGATTTGTCTTCAAATATGCTTAGAGATAGTCTGGGTTACTGAAGTCATCCACAGTCCCTGCTGGTGCCACTGGGCCCTATTTGGTTAAAGACACCCACTGGCCAGTCTGTGGTACCCACATTCCTGGTAGGCTAAAGGCATACACAGAACACACCAGTGCTGGGAGGCCCCATAAGATATATGGTAGAGAAATAGGAGAGTAAGTGACAAAACAGTTCCTCTGCTGTGGATATGGGATAACTGAAGAGATGAAGGCAGTGAAAAATGGGCTGATGTGGGTGACCTGCTTGCCACTTAGGGCCAGGGTGACATTTGGGCCTGGGCCACTACCAAGGTTTCTGGGTTTGTGGTCCTACTGAAGCCAGGGTCTGTGTTGACATCCATGACCTATATTGCTACCAAGGCTACTAGGATGCCTGGGTTCTGGGCCACAACCTGTGGCTACATTAGTGTCCAAATGATTTGCAGATGCAAGTGTCCTTCTCTATCACCTGGGTCCATAATGTCATCCACATATAGGGCCATGTCTGGGTCCATGGCTCTATAGCAGTCAGGCTCTGAGTTGATGTCCATGCTTTATGGTATCACTGAGGGTTGTGCATATGTCCAGGGTCACCTGACACCATGTTGGTGTCTGGGGCCATGCTGTCACTGGAGCCATACTGATCTGGGTAGCTTGTACTGCCACAAGGACCATGGTGATGTCTGGGCGTGAGCTGCTACTAAGGGCATGTCTGAGTCCATGTTCCTGCTGCATCTACAGTCTGTGTCCATGTCAGTGGTCAGTGTTACCAGAGGCAGTCATAGGAAGCATGCATGTTGAAATCTGAGGACCATGCTGTGCCAGGCCCAACCTTCAGCAGCCCTGGGATGGCTAGCCTTGGCCCTGGCCCTCCTGGACACTGCAGTTGGAAAGTCAGCCTTGCCCCCCATGGGAGAGCTGGCCTCCCATCTTCAGTGCGGGCATGGGAGAGTTGACTCTAGCCCCTCACCTTTCTTCCCACTCTCCACAATGATCCCTGAACTCTAGGACAGATTGTGTGATATAAATGTGCCCTTTAGGGATGATCTTTCTGCAGCCTCTTATTCTCTGTACCTTGACCAGTTGTAGGTCTGTTAAACATTTACTGCAAATAGAAGAGCCTTAGTGTGTGTTGAGAGATTCATTGATTAATGGGTAAAATGACATAGTTGAGTCTGTTTAATGTCATTTAGCAGTATTATAGTAGTAGGTTCTCTCTTAGTGCCCATGATCTGTCTAGCCATAGGTTCTTGGCCTACTAATGATATAGGTTTTATCTTTTGCATTTCTTCTTTCGATAATTTCCTGTTCAGTTCTTTAGCTCATTTTAAAATAGTTTTATTTATGCTTTGAGAACTTCATGCAGTCAAACAGTGTCAAAAATCTATCCACAGTTCCTCCCTTCTAATAAATTCCCAGATCTACACATCAAAGCTCCCTTGTGGCTTCATGAACTCTTTATTTTAATCACTGAGTTCAATTAGCACTCTGGTACTGGCATGGATGTGAAGACATCCACTGAAACATTTTCTTTATATCCAAATAAAATACCATTATGTATATGTGACAGAGTTTCATTATCCATCTATCCATTGAAATGTCTGGGCTGCTCCCATTTCCTAGCTATTGTGAAGACATCATCAATGACCTTGAAAGAGCAAGGACCTCTGCAGAATAAAATAACATTCTTTCAGTATAGGCCCAGGAGTGGCACGAGCATACGAGTAGTAGTTCTGTTTCTAGTTTTGTGAGAAACTTTCAGACTACGTTTTAAAGTAGCTACAAAAAATATATACTCACTAAAAGTATGTAAGTGTTCTCTTTCCCCATATCAATGCCAGTGTTTGTTGTCATTTGTATTTTTGATGATGTCTATTCCAACTCTGATCTTAACTGATACAAATTCCATAAAATTATGCATATGTATGGAGTTTCTTAGGACATTTTGACACATGTACATTACATAATGTTCACATATCACACACACGCACAAGAATATAGTAAGCCCTTTGAAATTATTAATGTATCTCAAGATGTTCTTGGGGAAAAATAGAAAAGCACAACTTTGTTATACCTGTTTGATTTTATTAGTCACAGTTTAGAAGCATAAATTTTCACTTAAACTCCCATTACTGCCACAGATGGAGGAGGAATAATGGAGGAGGAGAACAGAAAGAAACGGGCAAAGGGGGCACCCATGCACAGAGAAAAGATACAGGACATCCATTAAAGTTGATCCTTAGAAATAGAGTAAGACTTAAACATAGTTAACTTTTATCAAGAGGGAATTAGATGAAACTGTCACTATCAACACTAATTTTACCAAGACTAGTTGCTTTAAATTTCATGCAAAGGTCAAGAACCTTCTCCTACTGATAGCTAAGAAACTCATATATAGATATTTTCTCTGGTCTTGATCTAATATTAACTTAAAAAACCACAGGTCATGTCTAGGGGGTGATACATTTGGAAACTTTAAGCAGGTACTTTGGAAAATGAAGGTTAGCTTTTAAACCTATAAAAAGTCATTGTAAGCAGGGTAAATCATATTCTATAAATATCTCATGAAGAGAAGTGTCAAGAACCAAATCTCTAAGAAAAAGATATATATTTTTAGTGTTTTTTACAGAGAAAATTTCATTTGTAGAAGAAATCATCTTATTTTGAGGAGAAATGGTTAGAAGGGAGCCATTAGAAATACTTAGAATGTAGAGTATGCTGGCAAAACTCATTTTCCCAGGACTCTCCTCAAAGCCCCAGTCACTTCCTTATTCCTCAGGCTATAGATGAGGGGGTTTAGAGCTGGAGTGACAATTGTATAGAAAACAGAGAAGATATTGTCTTGTTTGGGGCTGTGGAAGGAGCTGGGCAGAACATACATGAAAGAAGCACCCCCATACCACATCCCAACCACAGTCAGATGTGAAGAGCAGGTGACAAGGGCTTTCTTCCTGCCCTCACGTGAAGGCATGTAAAGTACAGTGAAAAGAATTAGTGTATAAGAGGCAAGAATGGCAGTAAGAGGGAGAAGTAGGAAGATCACACCCATCACATAAACCATGAGCTCATATTTGGAGGTGTCCGCACAGGCCAGCTTCAGTAATGGAGGAATCTCACAGAACAGGTGTCTGATCTTCCTAGATTTGCAGAAAGGATATTGCATTGTGTAGAGGGTATATCCTACTGCACTCAGAGATGCCAGGATCCACAATATGGCCACCCCTAGCCAGCAGATCCCAGGCCTCATGAAGAGTGTATAGTTCAGAGGATGACAAATGGCCACATACCTGTCATAGGCCATAAATGCCAGAAGGAGGTCCTCTGCACCACCCAGTGTAAGTTCTAGGAACATCTGAAGGGCACAACCCCCAAAAGAGATGGTATTGTCTTTAAGCAAAAAATCTAAAACAGCCTTGGGAGTGATAACTGATGTGAGAAGGAGATCCATGAGAGACAGCTGCCAGAGCAGAAGATACATGGGAACATGGAGCCGGGTATCCACGGTGATGACCAGGAGAAGCAGTCCATTGCTGGTCAGAGCCAACATATAAAGAGCTGTGAATGTGGCACAGAGCATTTCAGGGGAGCCACTCTCATCCAGAATTCCCACCAAGATGAAATCACTTCCCATGGTGGAGTTCCAGACTTCCATTTTGTGCAGCCTTCTTGTCTTCCTAGGAATAGATAGCCCATTGAAATCTTGCTAATATGAACCTTGTAATATCAAATAACCACTGTGATTCCAATAATATGATATTCTTTCCTATAGGTAAATATATTTGCTTCTCAATATACAAACATGTAGACCTCAATTCTAGTCGACCTACCTACTCTGAGCATATGCTAACAATATCTAGTAGCTAAACATTATTAGACCACCTCTCAGAAGTAATGCCCATGAAATTCTACCTGAAGAAGAATACTTTAAGAAGATTGACTGTAGCACAAATAATAAAAACTCAGAGACAGATATTGGGATCAAGCTGAAGACAAGAAAAGCAAAGCAACCAGCCAGTATCTCTTACCTCTCCTAGGGCTGAAATGGAGATACTTATTCCTTGTGACTGGAAGTTGAATCTCTCATGAGACACTTTGCTTCTTCCTTCTATATCTCTCTAGTGCTGGGATTAGAGGCATGAGCTCTGTTACTCTTTTAGCCTGAGTTACTCTCATGTAGCTCAGGGTGGTCTTGAACTCACAGAGATTCATTTGCCTCTGACACCTGAGTCCTCAGATTAAAGGCGTGTGTCACCACTGCCCAACTTCTCTGGCTAACTATTGTGGCTACCTCTGCATTCTGATCTTCAGTGGCTTTATTAGATCATAAACAATATATCTCCACAATCGACTACTTCTCTGTTAAGAGTAAAGAAATACTCTGTCATGCATGCACTTTAGTGTAACTATTTGGTTAATGAGTTAGATATTCTAGTAAGTTTCCTGCATAGACATTATTCAAGTGTGAATTTCCACCTCCAGTTCTTTTTCTTTCTCCATATTTCTTTGTTGTTATTGCTTTGTACATTTTGACAAGATCTTTCTATATAGGATACCTTCAAATTATGAACCTCTTGACTCAACCTATCAGATGCTGGAATTTTAGACAGAAAATCACCCAGCTTATTTCCCATATTCATAATTCCATATTAATTTGAAGCAAATACCACTGGAATATCACAATTTTTTCATATTAATGACCTCTGTTGCCCAGTCATACATTCTCTGATAGCAAACAGTATTGTATTTGAGAAAGTATTGATCTTAGACTTAAATTTTGACAGTGATGTGAACATATCTATTTTAATAGATTGTTATATAGAGTGTACTTGAGAATAAACAGCAACATAACATTTAAAAAATGAGTCTGTGTCTTGGAGAAAAAATGAAAAAGGAACTAATGAACAGATATTCTGTGTTGTAATTAACCCCATTACTCCTACTCTGGATATAACCATTGGCCCTGATGTTTGCTTACCCTGCTACGAGTGCAGAGCATTTGCACTAGGAAGAAGGAGCACAAGGACATGAAGAGCTTCCTTTCCTGTAAGTTACTATTGGTACATAGTGCCAAAAGTCATGGAGAAGCCAATGGGAGCAAGAGTCTAAAATTGACAGAAGCCTGTGTTGTATATCATCAAACTGGACAGATAAAGCCAATTCAACATGTATTGAATCCTTGTACAAATCATTTAGGCATATCATATATATTTACATTTCATTAGTCCCCAATGGCTTCTCTTGGGGTCATTGGTACCCTAACAGTTGAAAGGTATGGGAATATGAGACAAATATCATCAGTTCAGTTGGCACTTTGAAGGTATTCATCATCAGATGATAGGCATAATCAGAATCCAGGGACATCTACAGGGTCTAATGATAGGTATTGTGATGCCAATGATGAAGAAGGTACATAGGCCCAGGCAATGCTTTTAATATTCAAAATATCAAAAACAGAGAGACTAAAATGGTAATGAATTCAAGGTACTAAGGAACCTGATTGATACAATAATTTAAATTCTTACAGTTTGCTCTACACTGATTTTTTTACTCAAAACACATAAAAGGGGGTTACATACTTCATTTATGTAGATACAAATTCCTTACCTTGTGTGTCAGAAGCCTAACTAACCACTCCAGTTTCCCTTGGGGCTTCTTAATGTTTGTGATGTTGCATTACAAATGAAGAAGACATGTAATATTTTCCCAGAAGTTTTCAATTGCATTTAGCTTTGACTAAGTATGTTAAGCATTCTTCCAATATCAGGTGTCAGGGCTAATTACTTCCTTCCTCTCATCTATAGATGTGCTCGGAAGATGGCCATAGGAGCAACCGGGTGGTTAACAAACTTCAGGTAGTGACCTATGGAGCAAGAAAATGGCTTTCCTGTTCTACACTTAAGAATTAGTAGAAACAACTACCATTTGATAGGCTGCATGGATGCAACCCCTCCAACTTCATGTACGTTTTCAAACTATTCTTGGATCCTGATGTTCAGGTTTCTCCTGTCTGGTTGCCATCCAGAAGCGGAGATCAAATCTTCACCAAGCAAGTAGAAATTCAAAAAGTTCTCAATGCTCAAAGGTTTGTGCTGTTCTACACCTAAATGTCCCTAAGGGTGGGAGAAAGCCAGGACTTTGTCCAGGAGCAAGCTACTTTGTCTTCTGATCCTATGACCTCCTGTCTGCTTTATCCCATCCATATATTCAAAGGGAATTATATCCCAACTGAAATGGTAATGTTGGTCTAGAAAACAGTAAATTAATGAATTCTCTTGGGTATGTTTCCTGGCTTGCTTCTCCTGAGATATTCTGTCAGTAATGAGCTATCGGGTCCTAAGTTTCTGTCTCCTTTGCTGTGAGCATTTCACACTTGCTTCTTGAGGATTATTCACCTTAGATTTCAAAAGGAAAAGGGACAGGAAAAATTAAGCCTGTGTTGGAAAATAACTGTGAAGAAGTGATAGCTGCAGCTCAAATTGAGAACTTGTCTAGAAACAGAAATATAGAGTGAAAAGTTTGCTCAAACGTTGTCAATCAGAGAGTTGCATAGTAAACTGATTCCATCTGATGGTCACTGCATGCGATCTACATGTAAGCCTGCCTGAATTTGGCTTTTAATTCTGTGATAAAACAAAAACAATAACCACAAAACCAAAAAACATGACCAAGGCAACTTACAAAAGAAAGTATTTTATTTGGGGCTTGTGATTTCAAGGGGTAAGAGTCTATGACTATCATAGTAAAGGGTATGACAGCAAAGAAAATCCAAATTGAGAACCCACATCTAGAGACAAAGAAATCATGAAAATAAAGAAAGAGAAAAGTATATAGAGACAGAGCTAGACAGGCAGAAACAGACAATGGTGAAAGTCATTTGAAACCCCAATGCATGCCCCAAGGACACATCTCCTCCAACAATTCCACACCGCTTAACCAAAGCTGTTCTACCAACAAGAGAACAAGCATTCAAAATGAGTCTATAATGGTAATTCTCTTTCAAACAAAACAGGGTTCTTCCTCCCAGATGACCCTGGCTTATGTCAAATATACAAAAACATGGCATGTACTCTCTCATATATGGATTTTAGACATAGATCTGGGGAGTGCCAGCCTACAATCCTATGGCCAGAGAGTCTGGGAAACAAAAACAAAACAAAAACCCCACCAGTCATCCTATGAGAAATAAAGGTGCAATATCATTCATCCGCCAACCATAATACAAACATCTTTCTTTTCTTATAGTAGATTCATGTAATGTGTCATCCTGTTTTCCTAAACCATTTTGCCTGTGGTGTCCAGCTGGCTAGATAATTTTTGAGTATATTTTAATTTTTACATTCTTAGTCACTGGTAACTACCAGAATACAGTCCATTTGAATCTTGAAGCTATTTGGTTTCTAGCTTTAAATTTTTTTGGACTCTCTTGGAGACTCCTATAGAATCAATGTTGACATCTAAACATCCAGATACTGACTTTGTAACTTTGGGAATAGCTTTGCTAAGAGGTGGGTAATTAAAGGCCAGGGTAAAAGGTATGGCTAGTTGAGCCAGTGTATAGGTCCCACTTGACTGGAAGGCTTGAATAAATGTTTCCTTAAATGTTCCCTTTCCCACAGTGTCACCATATATCAGTTTGGGAGATATTGAGTGTAGGGAAATTGCTATTTTCCTTTTGCTTTAGTCACTCAAGCTATGGGTAAAAACCTCATGATTCCATATTGCAAGAAGAGAATCTACTCCCTGTTATATGAGGCATGAGTAGAGGTGAGGAGATTTGGATGGGCCTATCTATATAATCAGAAACAAGAGCTATAGCCCCTGGCTAATCTTACCTTCTTGCATGTCCTTATCCTGTAGTGAGACAAGTGTGCAGTTTATTTCTGTGGTCTCTGTGTTCTAAGAGAAAAGCATACTACTTGAGGCAATGAGTGTCCTGCCACAAAAACATAACAATAATTCTCATTGAAGTTGAGTACTATAAATTTAGTTCATTCTATCCAATTATTCAAATTTTCATATCTAGTTTTCATCAGCATGGGTATCAAAAGTTAAAAAAAAGGCCCATTAGGTAATAAAGTTCTGTTAGATTCTTTCTAGATTTAATTATAAAAGCTCCCTAGATGACCCATGGGGTAAGACTTACGACACATATGTTTGTCCTTCTAAGTTTCCACATTATACGATTATATATAAATTAAGCAAACAGTTAATGGAAAGGATATTTTAGTTACATTAATTGCCAAGTTTTCCATTGTCTTTGCCATAATAAACAGATTAGAGACTTTTTTCTCAATCTTCATTTCAAAAGGTGTCTTTGTGACAAGATAGTCCATTTTCCCTAGCTACTTTTACCAGTAGCTTATTGGTGTGGAATGTGTCCACCTCTTTCAGCTTTCTGAACTTCAATTTTTGTAATTAACAGCACCAGAAAGGAACATCCCAAGTTAGTTCCAAGATGTTCCTTTTCCAGATTTTTGTTAGTATTCAGTCTTCAAGCTGAAAAGCATGAGCTGGAAATTTTAAGAATCTGGTTCTCAGTTTGCATGATAGGAACATCTGTGGGCACACTAGGATATAGGGGGGCATATTTCTCCTTAGAGCTAAACAAAGCTTGAAGGGCTTCCAGCATCCTGTGGGCAACCAGCTGTGATC